AATATAAAGTTGAGCAGCTACCCAACTTTTCATAGCTGATATCTATTTTGACTGGTTGTTGCCTCATTGTGATTGGTTGATACTCTTCCTTAAGTTTTAACAATGAAATAAGTTCAGGGATTGAATATTTTACAGGTCACACAAATAGTAAGGGATGGACCTGGGGCTTAAAATCAAGATTTTGTGTACTTTTTCCCTTTTTCTGTTGTAAGCAGGGTGGTGCTGTCCCCAGTGCCATCATTAGGGTTGGTGTCATGCAGTGTGGTAACTCATGGTGTCACCACCTCCCCATGGACCTCCTCCTGTACTAGATCATACAGAATCCTTGTTGTTGTTGTTATTATGTGCTGTTGAGTCGCCCCTGACTCACAGCGACCCCTCCTTGGGTTTCCGAGGCAGCATCACTACGGAAGTAGATTGCCCAACCTTCCTTCCTAGGAGTGGCTGGTGGGTTTGAACCACCAGCTTTCTAGTTAGCAGTCAAGTGCCTTAGGCACTACGCTACCAGAGCTCCTACAGAATCCTTAGTAATGTTTATTATCAATTTTAGTCATAGAATAATACGTGATAAATGTAGTTGTAAACTGCTGAAATGTAATGTATTTCTTAGATTACATGAATACTAAAAACAAAATTGTTTTGTAAAATCTTTCCACATTGAATTACAATATTATTAGTTACAACATTATTAGTAACTGATTGGAAGCCTTTTTTTATTTTTCTCCTATTCCTTTGATTATTACATGATTCTCATAAAATGTTATTTATATAGGTTCACAAATACTAATTATCACAATATTGTAGCTAAAATACCAGAAAATTTTACAAGAGCAGTGTGAAAATACCGGTAGGAATGCAAACAGCAGTGTATGCTTATAGCATGAACGATGAAACCATGTGATTTGAAACATCATTGTAGTTGGGTAATAATGACAGCTCTGACTAGAGTGCATTAGAAGGTTCAAAAAGTAAATTAGCATAGAATTTTAGCCTTATAAGTATATTGATACATGTAAGCTGGGGTTATGCAAAATGTTTTTGTAGTTATAACTAGCTAAAAGTATATTTTCATAAAAAATAATACAATTCTGCTGAAACAGAAATTTTATAGACAGTCATTTTGGCATCACCCCCACTGAAAGTGTCAACCAGTATGGTCTACACCCCTTGTGCCCCTCCAGTGATGTTACAGGCTGTCCCTTAATTGCTCCCCTGGTACGATGTCTTACTACCAAATTAGAGGCAGCTGATAGCTGGCTCTATTTCCGTAGTGATACCACCTCGGAAACCCAAGGAGGCGGGGCACTATGAGTTGGATCCAACTCCACAGCAGTGAGTTTGGTTTTTTGGTTTGTAGCTGGCTTATTCTACCTGTAAACCAGTTTGGTGTGGTAAATGGAGAACTAGGAATTTGAAGACCTAGCACTGGGTCTTTCATTCACTAATCAAGTTGGTAAGAGGTTAGATTATTTGACCATGGGCACATGAGGAGGCACTTTGGTTATGTGGTGGTTAAAGCATTAGACTGTTAACTGTTGTTGTTAGGTGCTGTAGAGTCGGACCCGACTCACAGCGACTCCTCCTTGGGTTGCCAAGGCAGTATCACTACTGAAGTAGATTGCCCGACCTTCCTTCCAAGGAGTGGCTGGTGGGTTTGAACTGCCAGCCTTCTGGTTAGCAGTCAAGTGCCTTAGGCACTATGCTACCAGAGCTCCTGGTATATACCTTAGTTATGTTAAATGTTGCCTCTCCTTGGTCTTTGTGACTCTACTAGATGGCCTTTTAAAGTTACACTGAAGTCTAT